ACGGAAGCATGGCAAGACCGACAAGCTGAGCTCTCACCATTGCACTGATCATCTGCGCAGGCTCACACGAGAGTTGGGATACGCGGTGGTATACATGGCCGTCTATTGAGCGTGCTCGGTCCCGCGGCTCCACAGCTGCATCATCTCGCGAGGAACCCGAGGCTTCTGCAACACGAGTATGAGTGGAAAGTATCCTAGGTGGTAGGCGGACTTCCATCTCTACGATACCTTCCCTTGAAGTAATGCGTATTCGAGGATCGTTCTCGTTTTGCTCGGATTCTGTTGGTGATCCCGGTGGAGTTGTGGATCGTATCAAATCTTGGAACGCATCTATTGGAATTGTGATTACATCTGCGTCGAGCGGCTCTGTGACAGGCTGATCTTGGGACTGGAGCACGGGAAGATGCAGCGGGGTAGCGTTGATCACTTGAGTACCACCGACTTCTATTGTCTGGCCATTGTTTGAAGCAGCCGTGGTTGCAAGCTCGATGGTTCGCTTCTGTTGTGTGTTTGGAAAGGAACTTGGAAGAGCCCAGCCGAGCATTGCAAGTAGCCTGTGAATGGCATTGCGAATAAGGGTTGGTGACTCCCGCCGCAACCCGAGCACAGTCAAAGCACGGTCTTTTCCGTTGGCGTCTCGGCTGGGTATGTCGGGCTTGTCAGGGCGGATGACGGCTGTCTCGACTGCTTCGTAGACACAGGCATAAATCCAGCGTTCAATGGCATGTTCAGCACATAAAAGGATAAGGGGTGAAGTCAGCACTGCTCCAATACAGTCCGTGATGGAACTGGACGCATTGTATCGCACAGAAAATGGTAGCAGAGGCGATGAGCTTGAAAAGGGAATAAGACATGTCCAGTTTGGCAATAGTGGGCGAGCGGGCACCAGGCCAAGGCGCTGCAAAGCAGCGTGGTAAAAGAAGGGGTAGCACAGAACCTCGAGGCCCAGACGAAGACTAACGGGGTTAACGAGAAGTAGAAAGGCGAATGTGGGACCTACCTGGACTTGATGGCTTTCTTGGCTCGTCGAAAGAAGTGGCGGGTCTTTGGGCTGGCACGTGTCGCATACAGCACACGTTCGACGGGCTGATAGACAAAAGTGCTGTACACGATGGCTTGGATGTTCATGGTCGCAAAGACGCGAGAGAAGAAGCCAGCATAGACAATGGAAGTGCCAGAGAGGGCACGCTCCGAGGCTGCGATGTGGCTGAAGGCAAGGGCATGGGGATAGCGAAATGTCAGGATCCTCTCCCTGATTGAGCCTATCCACCATGTGCAAAGGTTCTCGGTAAGGGTAGTCGCCAGTGCAATGGCGTTTCCAACAGTATCCTCGGCTTCGAGCAGCTCGAGACGCTCTACGCTGGACCCTGGAAAGGCGTCGGCGTGAGAGTATCTACGCTCGACGACGCCGACAGACGCGAGCACATCGTTTTGGGCGCCTCTGAGTTTCTTGCCATACTGGTGGGAGCGGGGGTTGATGGGGTTGCCGCGCTCGTCGTAGAGCTGGACGTAGTTGTTGGCTGTGGCCTCGTGGTAACGCCGTGGAATCTCCGACTGCGACGATTCGAGCTGGACGTATTCGGTCGACTGCGAGGCGGATCGGGTGGGCTCAAAGGCAGACCGTCCCTAGCAAGCGTGTCAGACATGTCCTCGAGCATTGCGCTGGCTGGCGGCGTGTGTACGAAAGCGATCTTGTCCAGGTAGGCTTGCCGGCCCATGGTGGTGCTGACAAAGTTCGACTTTGATCAGGTGCACGCAGTAGAACAAGGTGACTGCATCTTGAACAATGCAATATAGGCGCATGCTCCAGAAGCCGAGTTGGTGGCCGGGGGGGAGACGCGCCGGCGCCAAACGTCAGCGCGCGTGGCTTGCGACTGCCGTTATCGATAAACTTTTTTCCTCGAGCACTTTGCGACACTTCCCTCACCTCTCTCGGCAGAGACGCGACGCTACCAAGTCCGCAATCCACCATGTCGGCCCAAAGAGCTGCCGTCAAGACGACGTACGAGGTCGCTCGCACCCTGCAGCCAATCTACTCGGGAGGCAGCTTGGCCCTCAGCGAAGACGGGCGCATTCTGGCCGCGAGCTTGGGCGAGGATGTCCTTCTTTCCGACCTCACCAACGGCCAGGAGCTGGCCAGGGTCGAGGGAGACGGCGAGGCAATCACGGCCCTGGCCCTAACCCCGTCCGCATCTCATCTCGTAGTGTGCTCGCGCTCTCTCTCCATGCGCCTCTTCGCCCTGAGGCCCTCTGACACCGACGACCAAGTCATCGAGCTCGACCTTCTCCGAACACTACGCCCGCACACGTCTCCTGTCGTCACGCTAGCCACAGACCGCACGGGCACACTGATAGCCACGGGCGGCGCCGACGGCGTGGTCAAGATCTGGGACATTGTCGGTGGTTACACGACACACACTTTCCACGGCCATGGCGGAGTCGTCTCGGCCCTGCACTTCTTCGAGGTAGAGGTAGCCGAGCGTGACGACGCTTCGGAAAACAACAAAAAGAGAAAGAGGAAGTCGCGGCAGGAAGGCGCTGAGTCGGATCAAGCTCAGGGGGAGAGTCAGATACAGTTTCGGTTGGCCTCTGGTGCCGAAGACGGCAAAATACGGATATGGGATCTTCACAAGAGAAAGAGCGCTGCTGTCCTCGACTCGCACGTCTCCGTCGTTCGCTCGTTACAGTACTCGCCGCAAGAAAAGGTCCTTCTGTCTGGCAGCAGAGACAAGACGTTGATTGTCTGGGACTCACACAAGTGGAAGGCGCAACGCACCATTGCTGCTCTAGAGGGCATCGAGAGCGCAGGCTTCATCGCAGACGGCAAGATCCTGTACTCTGGTGGAGAGAACGGCCGACTACGACTCTGGTCAGCCTCCAGTGGAAGAGAGCTCACCCGAGAGCAAGAGCCTGGATCCGAGACGGATGAGATTGTCAACATCCTCTACTATCCTTCATTGCCCTACTTGATCTCGGTGCACGCTGACCAAGTGCTCAACTTCTACTCCCTCAAAACAGCAGAGTCACTCGTCGTAGAAGAGACCATCGACCCACTGCCCATCTTCCGTCGCGTTTCCGGAACCCACGACGAGGTCATTGACATCGCCTACGTTGGCCGAGACAAGTCCCTGCTGGCACTCAACACCAACTCAGAGGATATTCGGATAATCACACTCAACGAATCCGACGCAGAAGACGCGACCCAAGGCAAATACTTTGGTGCCGATGTCGGACTGCTAAAGGGACACGAAGACATTGTCATCTGCCTAGATGTAGATTGGTCAGGCCACTGGCTTGTCACAGGTGCCAAAGACAACACAGCACGGTTATGGCGTCTCGACCCCGCTAACGAATCGTATACCTGTGCTGCAGTCCTCACAGGTCATGCCGAGTCACTTGGAGCGATTGCACTGCCGCACACCATACCCCAGGAATCCTCAGCCGCTTTCACAGACCCCTTGTCACACCCACCTGCGTATATTGTGACGGGCTCTCAAGACAGGACAGTCAAGCGTTGGGATACCACCAAAGAGATGAAGGGTAAACTGCGAGCCAAGTACACCCGCAAAGCACACGACAAAGACATCAATGCCATCGACATCGACCCCTCTGGAAGTCTTTTTGCGTCCGCGTCGCAGGATCGTACCGTCAAGATCTACTCCGCAGCAGAAGGAGAGGCTATTGGTGTCCTCCGAGGTCACAAACGTGGTGTGTGGTCAGTCAAATTCGCACCCAAAGACTCGCAAGCGCCAAACTCAGGAAACAAGGGCTTGATCGCAACAGGCAGCGGAGATAAGACGGTCAAGATCTGGAGTCTGGCAGACTACAGCTGTTTACTCACTTTAGAAGGCCACTCAAACAGTGTACTGAAGCTGTCGTGGCTGCCCTATCGACCCGTCGACGCACGAGACAAGCGTGGCCCACAAATAGCTTCTGCAGCTGGTGACGGACTGGTCAAGATCTGGGATACAGTGTCCGGTGAGGCCATGTCCACACTTGACAACCACACTGATCGTGTCTGGGCACTTGTCGCACACCCCACAACGGGCGCCTTGGTGTCTGGTGGTGGAGATAGTGTCATCACGTTTTGGGAAGATACGACGAGCACCACGCTGGAAGCTGCCACAACAGCGGAAACAGAACGCGTCGAACTTGACCAAAAACTACAAAACTACACCTACGCCGGCAACTATCGCGAAGCTATCGTCCTCGCACTCCAGATGGACCAGCCCGCCCGTCTCTTCTCCCTCTTTAAATCTGTGGTGGAAACCGAGAACCCAGATACAGACAGTCTCTCAGGTCTCATCACCGTAGACGAAGTCCTCGGTTCCTTAGCAGACGAACAGCTGTACAAACTGCTCATCCGCCTCCGCGACTGGAATACCAACGTGCGTACTGCACCCATTGCTCAGAAGATTCTGTGGACTATTGTTAAGTCATATCCCGCTTCTCGACTAGCTAGTCTGAGGCCGCAGGGCAAGGTTGGCGCAAAGGGCAGTCTGAAAGATGTAATGGATGCCATCAAGGTGTACTCTGAGAGGCACTACAAGCGAATAGAGGAATTGGTTGATGAGAGTTACTTATTGGACTTTACTCTCAAGGAAATGGACGAGGTTGCGGGTGAAGTCAAGGCTATTACGAACGGCACTTCGCAGCTGGGTCTTCAAAGGGATATCGTCATGGTTGATTAGGAGTAATATGTTCAAGGCAGCTAGCCTGGCACCAAGATTCCGGCGAGTAGCTGGGTTATTGTAGGCTCGATATGAATACCATATTTGACAATTTCAGGATTTTCCTTCTCCAATGTGGTACTTGTCTGCGTCAAGCATAGACGCCGGCCGATTGTGCCTCGGTTAATCCGATCGGCTATGAGATCACCGGCCTCGTCTCCTCACCAACCACCTACATAGAGCAAGGTGCCAGGAACAAAGGCACCCCCGGTCTCATCTCCACTCCAGATCAGTAATCCCCTTTTGACTTCTCCAATAATCCAACCAGCCATGGCTCAGCCGAAGATTACCCTTTACGTTGACATTGTCAGCCCGTTTGCTTACATTGCTTTCTACATCTTGAAAGTAAGTTGCTTTACCATGTGTCCTGCGTAAATCCAGATTTTTGTGCTAGAATCATGCACTACAGTACTAACAAGAGTATTCCGAGTAGAACTCAAAGGTTTTTAAGCAGGTTGAGGTGACGTATGTGCCTATTCTGCTTGGGGGGTTGATGAAGGTCTGCGAGAATACACCACCATTGAGGATAAAAAGTATGTCGGATCTCCTCTTCTCTTGAAAGAGCAGCTTAGCTTGGCCACAGTAAGGGGGAAGCGCAACACGAAAGAAAAAGATACAACAAACGGCTCACCTGGCGGACCATCATCGGAGTCACCGTCATTGCAACTGCTTATCTTACCATCTAACACACCCAATCAGATAAGGACAAATGGATAAATACAGAGCGTCAGCGCCTATCCACTCACTTTAACGTCCCCATCTCGCAAGATACTCCACCTGGCTTTCCCATCAACACACTGCCTATCCAACGCGCCCTAGTTTCCCTCTCTCTGTCGCATCCCCAAGCCCTTGAACAAGCCATCGCCCTGTTTTACGAAAACTTCTGGGCAAAATGGAATGATCCAATCAAGCCGGAGAACCTGCTTGCTATTCTCGCAGTTGTCTTGGGTAGTGAGGAGGAGGCAAGCAAGGTACTAGAGAGGACCAAGACGGAGGAGGTGAAGAAGGTGCTAGGTGGGAATACGACCAAGGCGTTTGAGGATGGGGCTTTTGGCCTGCCTTGGTTTGTTGCTACGAATGAAATGGGGGAGACTGAGGGATTTTGGGGCGTTGATCATATGGGGCTGATGTGTGATCATTTGGGAATCAAGAGGCCGGAAAGTAGGGAATGGCGCTCGTTGTTGTAGAGTAAGACGTTCTCTGGGCGCACATGTGAATGGATACTGTTCTCACCCGCGCCTTTTACGACGGTTTCTAATGGACCACAGCGGCCGACTCCTTTTTTTTACTACTAACGATCAAGCGAAGCCCTTAATGGTCACGACGCTGGCCTTGAAGGACATAAGAAGGATTTCGGTGTTTCTAGTGACGAGGCCTTTCCCTCCTTTCACTTTGTGTATCTGGGTTTGAGACCTGTGAGCGTTAGGCGCATAGCAAGGGTATGAACCACTGAGCTTGGAATATCCAGACAACCACTCGGTTGCGTCAAGTATTATCACGCGACAGCAAGATCTAGACGGGTCTTGACTGCATTATCGCGAACAGAACTGTCATCTTGCGCAATACCTGACTGTAAGTTGGCGGCCCGTGAGCGCACTACCATTAACGTTTTATTCTATAATCGTTACTCATTCTTCCTGATATCAGAAAGCACAGATAGTTTCTCGGGAGCTTTTCTAGAGCACTCGCGAAGCTACTTCGCCAGCTAAATTCACTGCCTTCAACTCTTCTCAATGGTCTTTACCACCCACATTCATTTTCTCAACCACCTCTCCGATTCTCTTTCAAGATGGATTACTATCGACGGAACGAACTTCCCGAGACAGTCAAGCGTTACAAAACGTATACCGAACAGTTTCAGGCATGGCTGCTAAAGACTGGAATTCAGCGCGGCGTGGAACTCGCAAATATAGTCGCAGACCAGGCTAAGAAGAAAAAGAGCAAAAAGGGCTACATAATACCACTACAAGAGCAGGAGCAACTCGTCAACGCCATCACTGCTACAAACGTTCCACTTGCCGACACCTCCGGTATCAACGACCTCGAAGATGCCATCCGCTCCAGGAGAGAGGTGACGCAATACCACAAACACAACAACACGGCGGATTTGGGTCACGAATACTTCAACGGGAGCCTAGAGACGCTCATGGCTTCGTTGAAAGTTCTCGTTCCTGGAATTAACAAAGCTCGAAATCGCAAGAATGACACGCCCACATTCGTGTTCATTCAGCTTCCTACTGGTCCCAAGACAAGCCAAGATGAACAAGACGACTTGCTCAAGAAAATGCGGGAACAGGACCAATACGACATGGAGAGTGATGGTCAGCAGCAACAAACTCCGACATCCAGGACGAAGAAGAAGGCACCAATATCAGAGACAAATCCACTGACTGCAGAGGAAGAGCAGCTGCGCCGCGAATTCCTTATACTCTGCTTTCTCTACACTTTCAACCGCATACGAGATGTCCTCTACGAGATTTGGGTGCTCTACCACAAGGGCCTTGTCAATGCGATCACAGCAGCGTTGGTATCAGACCTGGCTCAGGACCAAATGAACCAAAACGTCAAGTCACTCGTGGAAGAGCTTGATCTGCTACCTGGAGAATTGGCCATACTCATCCACCAACTTTTCAACAAAACCAAAGCTGCTCTTGAGACTGGGGCGCAAAATTCTGCGACACTACCTGCTGAAAAGGTATTGCGCCACCTGTTTGGTCTGGATGCTGCTGCTTTGATCAAAACCTACATTGCGAAGACATACCCAACAGAGGACAGTGCTGACGAAGATATACGAGAGCATCCTCTCATGCTCTTCTTGAAGTTCTTCGACGTCATTCGCAAGGGCGGTCTCAAACTTCCTAAGTGGGATCACTTTACTGAAGAGATGTTATTGCACCAGAGTACATCACAGGACTACCTGCCGTTCGGGTTGGCCATTGTCCTTGACATCCAGGAAGCTGTACGTGAGGACTACCGTCGGATGTTACGCGACCTTACCGAGCACGGTTTGGATATCGCTAGATGTATCCGTTGTCATGTCGATTACGAGGATCGCATGTGGGCCAAGGGCACAAAGCCAGATTACATGTGCAAAGAAGAGATTAAATTTAGTACCATCCTTCTCAATCCTCTAGACAGGCTGTTGGAGTGGCTACAAGAGCTTTTGAACTCTCAAGAAAAGCCAATGACTGCTAGCGTCTTCATCACTGTCCATTCGACGCTCGCAGGACTCTCTATGTGGCACTTTAACTCTATCTATCATCATACTGCGATTGCTAAGATACAATGGTTCATTCATGGTATGGCCCATCTATACAACGCCGCCTGCCAGATGGGTGGTCTGGAGATTCTATGGTCAGATCTGGACTACCTGATCATGATATATGGGGCCAAGGTTATGTTCCGGGGTGATCCACCTACTCACCCTAACGACTTCCTCAACCGCTATCTCCTCTCGGGCAACACTAGCAGTCGCGTTATGGCTTCAGACTTCCGTCACACGTCCGAATTTCTACCTCAAATCTCGAGAGAACTTGGTGCCAAGCGTGGTTTGCAACCCGAATTGCCTTTGGAAGCCAAAATCTGCGACTACTACGATTCAGATGCGGACAACGATCGTTGGTTGAGGCGTCACGCAGTCTTTAACTACCTCTATCGACAAAGCGAGGATACCGACAAGACACCAGATGATGACTGTCAGGAAGCTACTCAAGATAGGAAGGGCCTACGAGATACATTCGCGAACCTAGCGGCCAATACCGCGCCTCCAAAGCCAAGGCGAAAAGGAAAGAGCAAATCCAGGGTACACAGACCCGACTTCGACAAGCAAGATGAGACCCACGCCAAACTCTTCGGTACAATGAAATCAGAACTACGAGAGAACGAGGTGCACAGTAATTTCGACTTCCTTTCCTTTTACCGCCGCGCTTACGACCTCGTTCTGCGTATCCGTAAGGAAGTGCTGATGAGTGATCAAGTCCAGCGCTTCCGCGCCGAAGACATGAATGCTGATCCAGATCCCCCTAACTTTCAACTGATAACTGATCTCTTCCGCGCGCTTCAAATCGATCCAAAAACTAAGAAAGGAGAGGAAGCGGAAGCTGAGGAAGGTGCCGGGTATCAGCTGTCTACCAAGGTCGTGCCATTGAAACAGATTCGACGTGTCGCGGAGATGATCCAGGATTTAACTCGTAGTGAAGGTGATGTGGAGTTGAAGCGCGCGAAGTTGCGGGTCAAGGGAGATTGGGAGGGTCTCAAGGCTTCGTATGCTGCTGAAGAGGCGGGCAGGGACACATCTACCGTCGACGACACCGTCGCTCAAGTTGAGAAGGTGGTGCTCAAAACTGCTGACGACAATGTCGACTCCAATACTACTCTGCGTAATGACGACGGCGATCATCGAGTCAAGCACAAGTTTGAGGCAGATGGAGACTCAGTAGATGGTCCACGGTATACGCCTGGCAACCAGCTCACAGGAATAGACCATTCAAATAACAATCTGGGAGGCATGTTAAACAAGCCGGCAACTACAGCAATTATAGATGTCATCGGAACTCAGAACGGTAGGGTTTCATTACACAAGGAAAACGGAAAGAGAGGCGTCAAGCGCAAGCACAAAGCAGATGAAGACACCGAGAACGGCCCAGCCTACACTCCTAGCCTATGCGAGCAGATCAGCGATCCTGTATATGGCACCATCTCTCAATACGCCCTCGCCCTCTATGCTGGCAAATCAAGGCAAGGCCAACCTTCAAACGACCCAACCCAACAGATGATCAGTACCACAGACTCAACTTCTCTCGCAATACCCTCACCTAACGACCAACGTAACAACCAACTCAACGTCGCAGAACCCACGGTTCGCTCACCACTTGCCACCAAGCGCAAAATCATGACAAGAAGAACATACCATTACAAAATCTACTCTAGGACCACACCCCGGAAATCCCACACGACCGCATTCCATCCTTGCCGTGCGTCCAAGAAGACCAAAATAGTAGCTCTATTCCAGCCGCGCAGAGGCTACTATCGTCGTCTCACCAGCACTACTAATAAACGCCATGTCGCTTTTCGCTGCTTCGCTCGATGCAGTATGGCTCGGGCGCTGTGTGGCCAACAGACTCGCGTACAGAGGCATATGGCGATTGCTATTGCGGAACTGAAGAAGAGAGCTAGATGGGATTCGGCAGAGTTGAAGAAGGTGTGGTTGAGCATTAGGGACGGGGAGTTGGGCAGGGTTTGGGATACTGATAGTAATGCCAGTTCGGACTAAAGGTGGTGAGGGGCAGTAGATAGGCGATGATGAGTTGAAGAGCCCAAGCTTAGGCTGGTAAGGAGTGGCAGCGTTGAGGTAGCACGACATTACGATTAGGTCCAGTGACGATGCCACGGTAATGATACAACACTTCATGAAAAATCATCTAGAATTATACATACTGACATGCATTGGACCGACTCCCGATCCCACCTCACACCTTCCTAATCCTCCCGTCCAGCTCACAGCCATCACCCCATACTCAACCCTCGAACATCTTTGTAGTACTGACATTAATCCGACTCCACGCCTGCCCCCTTCTCAACGCCTCCAAGAACTTCGCCGGCCAATAAATATGATACAAGACGAAGAAAGGTACTGGATCCTCAAACAAATACGTCCCATCCTTCCACCCCACAACATGACTCCAAAATGTCGCTAGATCATTGAACGCACTCTGCAGCGTTGTCGCACCGAATAAGAGATCGAGAAGTGGCAGGATGACAAAAGATACAAGGTCATGTCCGATCCAGTAATAACTGTACGTTGGGGTGCGAGGAAAAACAGGGTCAGGCTTGTTTTTGGAGGTCAAGGGGTTAGGACTGTTGAAGATGGAAAGATATGCTTCCGCCATTTCAGGCGTCTGCTCAAAGAGCACGACAGCCGTATGAGCACGGGGGTTAGATTCAATAGGGTAGAACTTCGCAGCCGCACCCTTGTCGTCGTTCTCGACTAGAAAGTCAAAACTCAGATGACCTGTAAAGGTTTCGCCACCGTCTTTGCACACACGCTCGGTAAATTCGAGCATCTTTTTGCTGAGGGGGGAGGAGGCTGGTAGAGGTTCGTAGTGCATGAGGAGTTCTAGGCTGGGGCAGCTAGTGAAGGCCTTTACTTTGCCGCGGATGACGAGTGCATGTGTGCAGTATTCGTTTC